TTACTTATAAAGCTGGTTGATTATCTTTTTAGGGACACTTCTTACAAAGAAATGCAATTTTATAATTTCTCCAACATTACTGCATGGAACCTGACAAAGGGAAGCAAAACCTAGTTTTGAGGTGGACATCACAGGTTACATGGGGAATTTTTCAAGAGAAGACAGAAATATGGACATTGGTGATAGGTCCTATCTTTATAAATTTATTGGCAACTAATTTTAAATTTTTAAACACTCTGTGAGTTGACAATGTGTAAGGTAAGCTACACATGTATGCCTGGACAATTTTGCTGGTTGTAAGTCTATATCTTCAATCATGATTCATGAGAACTCATTCAAATTGTGCATTGGAGAACACTAAGGATATATCATACTTAATGTATGTTGTGATTAGTTCATCTATGAAATCTTACGTCTACAAGTCAATTTTAGGCAACCTGAAAGAAACAGGCCTTCTGTGTGGTTGAATACATAGCAGACTTGTCATGTCTGTTGGGTCTTTGTAGGAGATTTTCAAGGAAATATAATATTGTGGTACCCAACACTGATACGCATTTATTACAGAGGGCATAACACTGTAAGAGTACAGGAGAAACACAAAAAGAGTACAGGAGAAACAAAAAAGAATGAGAAGAAACTGCAGCAATCCTTGTAGTCTTGTGGAAGGGAGCACACACACAGGATCTCGTAAGCTGGGGGAAGCAGGAACCACAGACTGTAAACACAGGAAAGAGTGTTGCCCAAACTGTCCACATACAACCTGGGGAGATGGGAAGAAACTTTCATGCAGGGTATGAATCTTAAACTGGGTTTTAAATGGAAAGAGGGCCCACTAAGTTAGAGGAGAACTACTATTCAGAGTCAAAACGTAGAGACTTTTGAGGACCGAGAAGTCTCTCCAAAGAGAACTGAAACTCAGACACAGTGAAAAATCATTCTCTGTGTGAACTGTTTATTTGTATACACATAGCATGTTTCATGACAGGTTAGGTGAAAGTAAAAAATGTGAACGCTGAGACTATGCCAGATAGGTATGTTAAACATTAAAGTGATTTCTATGATAATGAATGCATGCTTGCCGAGCTGTGAAAATTTCAAGTGAGATGAATTACCAACTACCTCGGTGTATTTAACAACCCTGGGATGTTATCGGGGCCGGGAAGTTAAATTTAATGCTGCACATCAAACATCCAGCCAAGCACCCAAAGAATGTGGAACGAAAGCTAAGGGAGCCACGCATCTCTAGAAAAATCCCTAAACTTGACCAACAACATCTGCTTGCTCAATTCCTCAAGTTTCAGCGGGCTGGGAGCCAAATTTTCTGAATTCACTTCATACCTGTGATAGCTTCCCAAACTAACAGTTTTTGCTTTTGTTTGGTACACAGCAGTCATGGATGATATTATGAAAATAATAAGATGGGGGGAAAGCCAGAAATGGACATGGCAGCTGTTGGAAGGCAGAAGTGGAGTTCAGCTGACTTCATAGGCATTAGCTCAGAATGATGGGCTGGAAGGAGAACAGCAAATGAGGTTCTAGTAGGTGCACAGCTCTGTGCTGGGTGCTATGAAGAGATCCAAAGAAATGCGGGTTGTCTGTGTTTGCTGCCAAGGAGCCTGCAACATGGCCACTTTAAGAGGATTCAGTAGGGAGGCAGACCCCTACTTTCATGTCCCGATTTCATCACCGTCATGTATGACATTGGGCATGGCACTTAACTTCTTTGAACTTCAGCATCTTCATACATAGAATGGGACTAGTACATCTTAACCCAAAGGTTCTGCAGGGTTCAACGAGATAAAGTGGGCAAAAGAGCTTAGTAGAGTTTCCTGGCACAGAGTCCACATACTTTAAGTGTTGGTTCACATCTTTGTGGCTGTAACAACTTGGCATCATAAAAAGACTGAATTAGAGATAGTTCCCACATGATGGCCTTATTGTCCAGGCCGGCAGATATAAATCACAGTATCCGGCCCAGATCGTACCCTTGAATTATGTTGTCAGGGTGGTCTCAATGGAGACTCTGGTAGGTACAATGCAGGGTATAGACTCATGTGGCTCTGTATTCTTGGAGCCTAGCACTGTGTAAAATGCATTAACAGATGGCTTCCATGGGAATTTAGAGTAGAATTTAGTAGGAGAGACATAACCTGAGTCCTAAAAGTTTGAAGCTGAACGTTATTGTAAAAGTCATTCAATCTAAACGGCTTATTTTATGGAAGATGAAATCTGCTTGCTTCTATTCATGCTACTCAGAGAGGCGATTTGCTAGTAGAAACAGAGCTTGGGGAGGGGTTGGCTTGTGTTGTTGCCTCTTGTAGCCCTGCCACTGCTCAGTCAATGCAGCTCCCATTTCTGCTGAAGGCAGAGCAGAGGAATTAGTAGAAGGTGTGCTTCTTGCAGGAGCTGAGCTGTTCCCCAGGAATAGTATGGCTGTCCCTCTAGCCTTCAATGGTTTTGATATAATTCTGCCTAGAGGTGGAGGGATGAACCAAGATGACTTTCCTAAGATGCTGCTGGTAATACTGAGGCCCAGGATTTTAACACACACACACACACACACACACACACACACACACACACACACACA